GTTGAGTGATGAGGTTAGGTTGAGTGATGAGGTTAGGTTGAGTGATGAGGTTAGGTTGAGTGATGAGGTTAGGTTGAGTGGTGTAGGCACATTGTGTGATGTGGTTAGCTTGAGTGTGGTATGTAAGTTGATTGATGGGGGTGAGGTTCACTGATTGGATTATGTTGAGTGATTGAATAAAGTCAAATTATTAAAAGGAAGTAAAGGACCTTTTCCACGGCTTCATCCATACAGGACTAAACCTATATATATTTTATAGACCAATCAGCACTCGATGGATGAAATAGTGAACATCACACCGGCCACCTTTACTTCCCAGGACTTTACCTGCTACCCATCTATAAAAAAAAAAAGTCTGGCTCCATGAAGACCCGAACTCATGACCTTTAGATCCACAGGCAAGCATCTAGCCACTACACTACGGCAGTTCTCATAGTCAGTTTTTTTTTAGTTTGGTGTAATGATTGGCTTTAGTATTTATGTTGGCTCCCAGGCTTACCCAGCTTTACATAGGTGTGAGGTAATTATGTGGGAAGTAAAGGCAGCCGGCATAATGTGAACCACCAAGTGCTGACTGCTGTATACACATATGAGTCAAGCATTATATACATTGCAGACCTGATAAGGAAAACTCACCAGGGAACCAAGAGATTGTTCTTTTTATCAGAACTTTCTCTTATCCTAATAAGAATTGAAGCATGAAAAAATTGCCAGGGAGAAACAAATTCTTCTTACAGAAATTAGCTGTGACCACCTTAAGTGGTCTGCACTGTACTAGTCACTGACATATAAATGTCCCATTGCTATTTTTTTACAATATTTGTGTACTCTGTATACGCTACATAAGATTTGACAGCAGCAAGTAGCATATATAATATATTTATTGAATACGAGACACATTAACATGTTAAAATCTATGTGCATATATTGGTGATATGATCAACAAAGACATTAGTCATTGATAAAATTGCACATGTGAATACATTAACTGGTACCAATCTGTCTCAGGTGTATCTGAACATGTATCGATGCTATTTCCTCTTTCACACTGGCATAGAGATACCTCCTTTTGTCATCATTTAACAGACTGCCAGTGAACATAACAACTGTTACCTAGTATAATATTAAACAAAACACAGAACATTCATTCTTCAGTAACTTGTTTGTTTTTGTTGTTGTTGCTGCTGCTACGGTTCTTTTTCTCCTCCTCCTCTTCTTCTTCTTCTTCTTCCTCCTCCTCCTTCTTCCTCCTCCTCCTCCTCCTCCTTCTTCTTCTTCTTCTTCTTCTTCTTCCTTTTTCTTCTTTCTTTTTGATATGAAAACACCTGCATTTAATTATAGATTAAGTTCACATTCAACATCTTTTTGCTGCCATTTTGTTATGTTGACAAAGTGGCGTGGGAGGGGGAGGAGGGGGGGGGGGGGGGCGATGTCAAATCTCAAAAACAAAAAAAATAGAGGAGGGGGAGGGACTATATTATAGTATATCTCACTAACCAAGATAAATAGAAAAGGCAAAAAGGCATTACACTCACGACTGAAAAGGCACAGAAGTGGTACAATTACCTACTACCATGTTTGTCTGACAGTACGACTTACATTAACATGTGCCTCAAAATATGCACTAAGGCTTATTTTTGTTGGTTTGGGGGGGGGGGGGGGGGGGGGGGGGGTGCCTTGTTTTTTCCATATACACAGTTCTACATTTATTCATGTACACGGTTCTACATTTATTCATGTACACAGTTCTACATTTATTCATGTACACAGTTCTACATTTATTCAAACACAGTCATATCATCTTCTTCTGGAACTTCACAACTCTCCAGATCCTGAATTCTGGCCCGAATTTCTTTCGACTTTATTTCCTCTAGAGCCTTTGACTCCAGTCTCTTATTCTAGCTGATGATTTTAACCCCAGGGTAAATGTTTGGGGTAGTGCTCATTTTAAAAGCCTCCGAAAATATTGTTCAATGATTTATTTTTTGGGGAAATACAGTAAATAAGATGACCATACACAACACGCTAGATGTGATGCGACTATAGAGGGACTTGACATTTCAAGGTGTGATTGAAAAGTCTAAATAGGAACCGCAGGAGGTTATATGGGGGAAAAAAGAGCTATGGAAATGTGCTTTTCAGGGAGATGTTTGTGTGAAAACCTCAGGGAGATGTTTGTGTGAAAACCTCAGGGAGATGTTTGTGTGAAAACCTCAGGGAGATGTTTTTGTGAAAACCTCAGGGAGATGTTTGTGTGAAAACCTCAGGGAGATGTTTGTGTAAAAACCTCAGGGAGATGTTTGTGTGAAAACCTCAGGGAGATGTTTGTGTGAAAACCTCAGGGAGATGTTTGTGTGAAAACCTCAGGGAGATGTTTGTGTGAAAACCTCAGGGAGATGTTTGTGTGAAAACCTCAGGGAGATGTTTGTGGGAAGACCTCAGGGAGATGTTTGTGTGAAGACCTCAGGGAGATGTTTGTGGGAAGACCTCAGGGAGATGTTTGTGGGAAGACCTCAGGGAGATGTTTGTGGGAAGACCTCAGGGAGATGTTTGTGGGAAGACCTCAGGGAGATGTTTGTGGGAAGACCTCAGGGAGATGTTTGTGGGAAGACCTCAGGGAGATGTTTGTGGGAAGACCTCAGGGAGATGTTTGTGGGAAGACCTCAGGGAGATGTTTGTGGGAAGACCTCAGGGAGATGCTTGTGTGAAAACCTCAAAGAAAAGATGGCTGGTGCTATTTTTTTAGGTGTCGTCTTCTGCACTCTTCAAAATAGAAAGAAGAGAAAAAAACCAGAACAAATTAAATGTCTGAAAGATGACATTGACACAAGAGGTAGAATAAATCAGTTGGTTATATTCTGGGAACTACGCAGAGGTATGTACATTACGTAACAGGCAGAGAAAAGTATAATATACAAAAGGTAGAGAAAAGTGCAATATATAATAGGCAGAGAAAAGTGCAATATATAATAGGCAGAGAAAAGTACAATATATAAAAGATAGAGAAAGGTACCATATATAAAAGGCAGAGAACAGTGCAATGTATAATAGGCAGAGAAAAGTGCAATATATAATAGGCAGAGAAAGTACAATATATAAAAGATAGAGAAAGGTGCCATATATAAAAGGCAGAGAACAGTGCAATGTATAATAGGCAGAGAAAAGTGCAATATATAATAGGCAGAGAAAAGTACAATATATAATAGGCAGAGAAAAGTACAATATATTAAAGGTAAAGAAGGTACAATATAAAATAGGCAGAAAATGGTACAATATATAATAGGCAGAGAAAAGTACAATATATAATAGAGAAATGTACAATATATAAAAGGCAGAGAAAGGTACAATATATGAAAGGTAAAAAAAAAGGTACAAAATAAAATAGGCAGAAAAAAGTACAATATATAATAGGCAGAGAAAGGTACAATATATAATAGGCAGAGAAAAGTACAATATAAAATAGGCAGAGAAAGGTACAATATATAAAAGGCAGAGAAAAATACAATATATAATAGGCAGAGAAAAGAGCAATATATAATAGGTAGAGAAAAGTACAATATATAAAAGGTAGAGAAAAGTACAATATATAATAGGCAGAAACAAGTACAATATATAATAGGTAGAGAAAAGTACAATATATAAAATGTAGAGAAAAGTACAATATATAAAAGGCAGAGAAAAGTACAATATATAAAAGGTAGAGCAATGAGCCCAAGAACAGGTTTCAGCTCTCCTGTAACAGGCAGGGACATGTGTTTGTGATCCGTTTAAAAGGCTGGAGAATGGATACAAATGTATGCAAAAATCACTTTATTAAACTCAGATAAGAGCAGAACATAGTGATTGCCAGGCCCTGCTCCAGATCAAGCACAGTCCCGTCTGGGTAGACATTTTGTTTTCATTACAAGAAAGAGAATAAGACAACAACCCGCCCACACTGGACTGCCGGTTGCTTTGTGGCCATTTTGTGGTGTCCCAATATAATTGTGCTGTATGGCTACACGATTGAACGGGGTTTCCCGGATTGTACCTGTTTGATTCTCATTACTGGGATGTATATCCTACAGACTAGATATGGGGCAGAAATACTGGAGAGAGAGAGAGAGAGAGAGAGAGAGAGAGAGAGAGAGAGAGAGAGAGAGAGAGAGAGAGAGAGAGAGAGAGAGAGAGACCGAACGAACGAACTTTATTTTCAAAGGGTCACAAATTGGGCACGCAGGCCCCCCGTCTTACATTCGGCCCTCCCAAACACCAGTCTTTCACTCAGCAGATGTATTTTATCATTAAAGCATGTTATATTCAAATAATAATATGCAGATTGTGAATATAAAGGAAAAAACACACAAAAGCATGAGTGATAAAATGCAATCACACTCCAACGCATGTTTACACACACACAAACACACATACACACGCCCTCACACTCACTTGAACACGCATGCACCCCCACACATTCTCTCTCTCTCTCTCTCTCCCTCTCTCTCTCACACACACACACCCACATATATACATTTACACCCACATATAAAATCCACACACATACATACATAAAATACACACATGCACACACCCATAGAAACACACTCAAACACATTCAACACACCTAAACACACATACACACCGCGCGCGGAGACACAAACACACACAGACATACACATACACAGACACACAAACCCGCACACACACACACATAAAAGAGAGAGTGAGAGAGAGAGTGTGAGAGAGAGTGAGAGAGAGAGAGAGAGAGAGAGAGAGAGAGAGAGAGAGAGAGAGAGAGAGAGAGAGAGAATAAACGAACAGATGAGATTTTCGCATATGTAGGCTGGCTATCCAACCCACACTCTCAAACTTACACATGATTGGTCCATTTACAGACTACATTAACACACTTTTACAAGTCACAGTCGCACAAATGCGCACAGTGATACATTATGTCTGTAAACTTAGTCCTTGCTGCCATCTTGAATCCGCGTCCCCCGATGTAAACGGGTAGAAATGTCTTACAACTTTGTACACATATCTTCTTCATTAATTATACAGTCTTTGTTATTTGCTTGAAACAAGGCCAGTGAGTTATGCGTGTCTGCATGCGTCCTCCGCATACCTTTGCCACGAATATTTACAAAGATAAACACGATCATTGCAAGGAAAGATATCACCACAAAGGCAAACTCAAATAGTATGATAATGGCATTTGCTGTACTTGAACCTGCAAAAAAAGATTCGGAAGTTTTTGGTACAGCTGCTAGACTGATCGCTGTCGTACAGCTCAGGCTGATATTCGATAATTTCTGACCCTTTAGATGTGGCGGGCTAGCACATTGAAGATCCCGGATGTACTTATAGCGGCGAAGATTGTCAACAAAGAAAGATTCCGATTTGATTTTCTGCAAAAACTGCAGCATTTGACAGCCGCAGTGGAAAGGGTTGTCACGGATATCTACAAAAACATCCACGTTCTGTGCCCAGAGAAGGAGATCTTCCACCGACAAGCTTCTGATGAGGTTGTTTCTGACATCCAGCGTGAGGGAATTTCCTGAAACGTCTCCAAATCGTGACGTGAGAGGGATTTTCGTGAGGAAATTTCTAGATAAATCCAGGTACTGAAGTTTGGGAAAGTACATCCTGAAATCTTGAAGTTCTTGCGGCATTTCTCGTATACCTGCCCTGGAGTAGTTCATGACGCGAAGTTCTGGGTACCTGGTGCCTTGCACCATCAAAGTGAAGTGATCAACGGGAAGCAGTTGGGGATTACTCTCGTCCAAAATTCGAAGTTTTTCATAATTGCATTTGACATCCAGGGACAGTAAGTTCTGTAGCAGCTGTTTAAATTCTTCACTAGCAGATGTCGTTTTGAGTTCAGGAGCCAGTTTTGTTTTAGGAGGGTTCGAGTTGGGAGGCGCCATCGCAGGTTGGATGCTCAGCCCTCGATCATTTAATTTACGCCTCTGGCCATTGGAGATAAAGAGAAACTCTAAAGAATGCACACTGTCTTCTTCATCGCTTCGATCTAAGTCCACATCCATCCACTCGTCTGTTCGGTAAGGACTTTGTAGATGGGTTTCGGTCTGAGATTCATCTGAAATAGAAGCACCCAGTCCACCCAGAAAACTGTTCACATCCAGCCGAAACCCACCCACAGGCTGTTTGTCTGTTGTCAAAGGCTTACCTCTAACGTTGTCAAGCTCCAGAGCGTCGGATACGTTGTTGGTTACCAGGTACTCAATGGTGCTGTCTTGTCCACAGTCATAGTCAGATGTGAGGTTGGCCAATCCTGCAGGACTTCTTAATATATCATACCCCGACCCGTCGCTCAGCCACACTGAATTTCTTATCTCTAAAACCCGAAGCTGATCAGGGATTAGAGAAATGTCCGGGTTGCCAAAATCCGCGTACTTTCCTTTCAAGATGCAACCAGACACAAGAACCCCGACAACTCCGTTGGCTTTCATCGGCCAAGGCAGCGAGATATGTCCCCCATTGCTACAGCTCACATCCACAAACACGGAAATACCCGGGATTCCACGAAGCCAGTCCCGAAGAGTCTGAAAATGCCACGTGATTTCTGAATTTCCGGCGACATGACACTGAAGCCTGATAACATGGCCACTAGACGGAGCAGTTTCTGTATACAACTTCACAATCTCTGAATCTAGTCTGTATGTACACATTTTCTCCCAGCCAAGAGGAACAGGGTTGATATTGTTGTTATTATCCATGGCTTCAACTGCACCAACAAGCACACAACTGATTAGAGCCCACAAAACGAAATGTGTTTCCATGTTTAAATGTTACCTTTTAAATCTAGCTTTTAAGTCTGCCAAGACGCCATTTCCGCGTTAATTCGTCGGTAGTAAATGCCACAACTGAGTTCATTCACCTGAACACGCTTAAAAAATATATGTTACCGTATTTGCTGCATTAAAACGTATCCCCGCTGCACGAATTGAGCGGCTCGTTGCACCGTCTTCACAAATTAAGATGTAATGCTTTCTGCCGGTGAGCTTTAGGTTGTACTGTCTTAAGTTGGCCAAGTTAGTCTTTGTGTCTTAGTTGTGGCAAGTACAGCAAAGTCACTGTTCTCACTGTCCGACATGGCGCTCTATCGGTAGTCACACGACATTTGAAAGCTGAAAAATTGAAAAGGTAAAAATTGGGGACATTTTTATTACGCGGAAGTTGCTGACGATTGGATTTTGTCCCGTCCTTGTCTCATTTCCTTCTTTCCTCCTCCTACCATCTATCTATCTAAATGTCTGCCTGCCTGCCTACCTGTCTGTCTGTCTGTCTGTCCGAGCATCCTTCCAGCAACCCAAGCTACCGTCATCTATATAATGAGGGTTTGTCAGAACGCTTGGCTAACGTTTTAAAGATATTTGTGTCTGTGTGTTTACCCTTGTGTCTACCAGCATGTTGGTTTACCTTTACAGTAAAAGTAAGTCAAGTCAGGAGATGTCAACCAGCGTTATTGCACACGGTTTTAAACCATAAGCACTCTGCCACCAGTACGGAAACCTTTGCTTCCGTCTATGTGTAATACTTACTGGCTATCTTTATGTAGAAAAAGGTTGCAGTCGAGAAGATCAACTTCACTGCCCCGTGTTTTGCCCCACATGTCTCCGTCTCTCTCGGAAGAAAGGCTAACTGCCTTCCCAGAGCATCTCACACAGTACAGTCCTCGTAGATCCGGCGACGATCCCCAAAGGTCTGTGTAGGAACTGCACTTGTGATTCGAGCGACGCATGTTCTTCAGAGCGCCAGGCAAACGGCTTGACTACTTGGCCATGGAGACCCGCTTCTTTGTGTAAATGTTAGGGTCTAACCCTCGTCAACCCAGAAAATGTTTACTGCAGATACTGCAGATAAACAGAGAACAAGCAACGACTGGCCGGCAGGAAACTCTTTGAGTCCAAAACAACGTATGACGTGTGAATCACCATGTCGGCTGGATCCCCTTCTTAGCCTAATATGTTCTAATCATTTTCATCATCATGTAGCAGGTCCTTTGCAGAACGTCGCTCTCATCACAGTCTGCCTGAAAGAAACTCGATCTCTCGCCAGTTCTCCTGCCTCATATACTTTCATACTCACGGAGTCACTCTTAACCTATGCCCATCTTAGCCTTTTGCTTCTAGTAATACTGTTCTTCCTAATGTCTCTCTTTAACGTCCTCTTTTTTCTCAGACCGTTTGTTTCTCACACCAGTGCCTGTTTTGTAATAACCCCCGTCCTTAACCGCCATAACATGGCACGCACCAGCAGCAACGTCGGTGATCTTTCTCAAATTCCCAGTGTGGTCTCCGGGGCCCCATTGTGTGAAAAACAAAACGAGACCCATTGCCTTATCAACAAGCATGTCGTGAGAGCCGACTAATTGGGGCCTTTTGCAGAGTCACACTACACTTGCCCGAGAGGCAAGGAACCGACAGTCTGCATACAAATAAGCAACCAAAAAAAAAAAACAGATTTGTAAAACGGATGTGCACGCAACTCAGGTTCCGGAACAAGACTAACGTCTACAGACGGACGAGCAACCAGAACTTCCCAAGCCGGTGAACGCTAACAACGCGAAAAAATGATCTTTCTAAATTGTGTATTATATACAATGATTACTATGAACTGGCAACATATGCTGTATTGTGTGTTCATTGGCTAGCCAGACATTTCTAGTTGCTAAAGCCAAACAATAAAGAGGCACTAGCCAAACATGCAACAGCTTGAGTGTGTTACTTGCAGTGGCATTGCAAGTTTGATATCCAGCCAGGTAGTTTTTGTTTGCTAAGACCAAACATAAAAGATACCATAGCACTCAAGACTGTTTGATAGAATAAACAATAGAACAACCATACACGGTGCGTTGTTTGAGACACAGCTACAAGTAAAGGGATACATATCAATGAGTATATCATTTCGGCCCCCCTCCTTATCTGTTTATTTACCATGTCTGTCACTGGACCTCATCATCATCATCATCTAGGACCTCGTCGATTGACGTGGGTGATCATTATCATCATCATCCTCCTCCTCCTTATCTACATCATCATCATCTTCTTCATAATCATCAAGGACCTTGTCGACTGACGTGGGCGATCATTATCATCATCATCATCCTCATCATCATCACCATCATCATCTTCTTCATCGTCATCATCAAGGACCTCGTCGATTGACGTGGGCGATCATTATCATCATCATCATCCTCATCATCATCACCATCATCATCTTCTTCATCATCATCATCATCACCATCATCACCATCATCATCATCATCATCAAGGACCTTATCGATTGACGTGGGCGATCATTATCATCATCATCATCACCACCATCATTATCATCATCAAGGACCTTGTCGATTGACGTGGACGATCATGCCCCTCCAGAATCTGCGATCTTTAACAGCATGTATCAGTTCATGGGCTGATAACTCTCCTTGATAGAACCTTTAGCTGCCAATAATATTCTCGCGTTGTCTATCCCAGCCTCTTTTCCCACGTTCTGTCGTGCATGATTGGTAGATATTGCTTTTAGTTGATGGGACATTATCTTTTTTTTTCCAGCAAAAGGTCGACGAAATCGTCAGAAACGCAACGGCCGAAAACGGTCTGTGAGCTTGGCCAAATCACCATAAACGCGGCAGTGAAAACATTGTCGGATGGGACTAAAAGTGTGTTCTGCGGCCGTCGGTGAATAACTTGAACACTAAGTCTAGACAAAGTGTAGATTAACATTTCTTATTCATCATTATCATCATCATCAACATTTATACACAATTCTATAATAATCAGAAGCTTTTTGACAAAGTTATTAAAATATGAAATGGATATTATTATATTTTTTTTTTGGGTACTGACATTACTTTTCAGCTTCGCCAACGAATGTTCACATTTTTCGGTGTAGGAAACACGGAGACGTGTCCCTGTAGCGTGGCAACTGAAAATGCTGAGCATGTGCTCCAACACTGTCAACTGTATGCTGACAACAGAGATGCAATCTGGCCTGTTCCAACCACAATGAAGACAAAACTGTGTGGTACACGAGAAGATATGGACTGCACGATAGCTTTCATAATGTTTTTTGACAGAGGGATCGAAGAAGAGGAAGAGGGTGGGTGGAGAGACAGAACCATTGCCCGCTAAAAAGCATGTTGTATATTCTACTAATTAGGGACGTTTCCTTCGAAGTAGGAATGCATCTGCCTGAAAAGAGAGGAACCAATTACCTGCCTACAGTTAAGCAAAATTTGTAAAACGGTTCACGGTTCATGAAGTGGCCGAACAACCAGAACTTTCTGTCGGAGCTTACAGCTAGTGAAGAACAAGAAATCTTTGTCAAGTCATACGGGCCATACTCCAGTGACGTGCACAGGGTTTTCCTCTTTTCAGTCTGGAGAGAAAAGTCAGAAGAAAATGGAAGAAAAGAGGTGACCTTGTAGTTTTTCTTCATTGTTTTACGTTGTAAAGATTACGTCATTAACAACTTACGTTGTACAACTGCCATCATAGCAATGTTATGCATCGCTGAACACATTGGTAATGCAAACATTGTTTCACACCTTTACTTGACACAAAAAAAATATCCCCGTACATACGGAAAAACATCCAGTCAGTGCAAGAAGACGCTATCCGTGCTGGAACTACATCTATATATTAAATATTATGCAACCACAGCATATACATCTCTTTACCACTGCTTGTATCAGTAGAATGTTAGGTATGTTGCAGTAGACACTGTGGTATCGTAAATTTGCAATTGTCTGAGGCATTTTGCGAGGTGAAGAAACTTTTGTATAGTAGGTGGAATGATAATATAGTGGCGAAGACAATTATTACAACAAATCTTCCTTGACGAATAAAGCTTTATTTGTCTCAGTGTTTTTACGACTTGTTGTGAAAAAATGATATTATAAATGGGGAAAATAACAGCAACTAGGAAGAGAACAATTAATATGTGTGGTCAGGGGGCTATAGCGTTTTCCTGCTTTACATACTTGTACGTGTTTTTGTTATAGACATGGTTGTATGCTTGTTGTAGTCAGTGATGTTGCTTTCTTCTTCTTCTTCTTCTTCTTCTTCTTCTTCTTCTTCTTCTTCTTCTTCTTCTTCTTCTTCTTCTTCTTCTTCTTTTTCATCTTCTTATTTTGTGTGTGTATTCCCACCACCACCACAACAACTACCACTATTGATGCTGCTCCTACTACTACTATCACAACACTACCATCATAACAACCAACACCAACACCATTGCTATTATCACCACCACTATTTTTACTCTTAAGACGACTACTACTGCGCATATTATTAATAATAATAATGTGGATAATAATAATAATGTGGATAATAATAATAATGTGGATAATAATAATAATGTGGATAATAATAATAATAATAATTAATAATGAATATATTTAGAGTATCTCAGTTCTCGAGACATGATACTGTTCTGTTTAGACTTTCTTACTTTACAAGACATGATTCATTTTACGAACCTAGAGTACCTTAGAGTATCTAGACTAGATACTGTTTACAAGTTTAGAGTTTTTAACGCCTCTACATCTGCCAAAGCTGCGTGCACCAGTTTCCATGGCACCGCAAAACCGAGATTAACCCTGTCCCCAATAACACATCTGACAAGAGAGCACACGTCATAGGTCCTGTCTCGTATTACGTTTCACCCACTGCAGACAGGAAGCAGACACAACACAGTGGCCTGGGAATTAATTAAAAAGCAACCCAAATGGAAATCAACTTGACAGTGACGACGCCAAACTGGCATGTGATAA